GTGAGGAAAATTCTCCAGCGTGTAGAGTGGGTGGAATATACGGAGAGTGAGATAATATGAGCAAATCTCATTACGCAAATATTCCACATATTGACCTGACGAAATCCAAAATAATTCCTATTTTCAAGAATAGAGAGAGCGAGGCAGAGCTCCCTATATAACACTACAATATCCCTGACATGAAGACTAGGCAAGTTGATTGAAAAGCTAATATTAAATTGGTTGGCGGGACATCCGAAGAAGTAAAAAAAAAAAATCAATGAAGACGTCTAGGATTGGATAAGAAAGCACCAATCCTGACCAAGAGTCTTCGTAAGTCAGACCAAAGATTGTCTGAGATCAAACAGGAGAAAAAAAAGAGATGGGTGGGCAGGCAGATAGTGGATGGAGAGACGGGAAATTTGCTGCGAGTTTTAAATATAACAAAATCATTAAAGATAGAAGGTCAAGTGTCATGGTGAAGAACAAAAGGTCAAGGTTGGCAAGCCGTACACTAGGAGGCAGTCTTAAGACCTATATATATACTGTTTTAATATGCGTAAATAATCAACCACGGAAGATCGAATCTTACTTAATAACATGCGAGAACGTTGTAAAGTTGTTATAAGCGATAAAAGCACAGGGTGACTCCAGGAGCATTCAAGAAGAATTAGACAGGTTGCAGAATGACCCCAAAAAAGGGGACTCCTGATGCTAAAATCTAGAAAACACATCATGTCCTGAAAATGAGTCCAGAGATATAAGCTTGCGGAAAGACACGACCTGAAGAGAGGAGGAAAAACACAAAGTGGTCCAAGAAAAGTATCAGAGAGGGCGGGAGTATGGCTCATACAAAAACAATCCTTTTTAAACGCATCGAAACCCGGATGCATCAGAGGCGTTTGTCATGGTGGGAAAACATATACACTGTCTTCGGAAACTTGTTGAAGAAACCTTTCATAGCAATATTCTCCGCTTAAAAGTAATCTTTAAAATAAAATTCCGAGTGTGAAACTCGCCCTTATACAATCACAGAAATTATAACATGCTCATGAATTAACCATTAAAATCGAGAGGCCTAAATAACAGATTTTACGAGCCGAAGATCATGGCACAAGAGAAGAGTATAGAAGGAGAAGATATGCGCACGGCGTAGATAATACCCTGGAATACCGACATGATAGTAAAGGACAGATTTCGGCAAATAAATGGCAGAATATATCAGAAAACCCGTACAGTGTTTAGGTAGTGAGGAAGAATACCGATCTGTATATACCGACAGTAAAAGCTGACTTAACATATTTATCAAATGTTTTGCTAAAAGTAGACACGTCCAGTCGTTATCAATTTAATAACCGGGTTAACAATCTTTAGCTCAACACCCTCAAATATTGCTAGTTTAGTAAACACTGTAAGGATAGGCATTAACGCACACACACACACTGATTTAGGTAACTGTTTACATGTAAACACACACACATACACATACACATACACATACACATAGGGGCCTCGTGGGGGCCTCGTAGCCTGGTGGATAGCGCGCAGGACTCGTAATTCTGTGGCGCGGGTTCGATTCCCGCACGAGGCAGAAGCAAATGGGCAAAGTTTCTTTCACCCTAAGTACCCCTGTTACCTAGCAGTAAATAGGTACCTGGGAGTTAGTCAGCTGTCACGGGCTGCTTCCTGGGGTGTGTGGTGTGGAAAAAAAAAAGTAGTTAGTAAACAGTTGATTGACAGTTGAGAGGCGGGCCGAAAGAGCAAAGCTCAACCCCCGCAAAAACACAACTAGTAAACACACAACTAGTAAACACATACACACACGCACACACACACTTTAGTGAGAACACATATTTACACACATCTAATGAAATAATATATCATGCACTTTTACTCTTTTCTGGCATTCATATTTCATGTCATTTAATAAATTTAAAGTTACTTGCTGGGGGAGAGAGAGAGAGAGAGAGAGAGAGAGAGAGAGAGAGAGAGAGAGAGAGAGAGAGAGAGAGAGAGAGAGAGAGAGAGAGAGAGAGAGAGAGAGAGAGAGAGAGAGAGAGAGAGAGAGAGAGACACACAGAAATATGTGATTGTGAATTTCTTTCATCATAAATCAGGATTTCTTGCAACAAAGTGCTTCAGCTGCACTCATAAATCGATTTGTTAGTGTTGGTAATGTTGATTCACTGCACGCCGGTGGTCACTGAACCCGCTACTAAGTACGGAAGCAGCCAATTTATACTGAACAATTTTGAACACAAAAAACGGCAGAAAATTCCTTTGTGTGATGCTTGTGGTGGTGGTGCTCTCGATGGTGGTAGGTAGAGTTGTTGTCGAGTTGTTAGTGGGGCGTTGTAGTGGTGGTTGTAATGATGGAAGCATGAGAGGCAATTACGGCGATAACTTGTGTTAATTGTGGTTGCTACGAGAGGGATGACAGGTGGTTGTGGTGGTGTTGGACTGCATGTAATGCAAACCATACATCAACCAGAAAGTTATACTTATCATTATAGAACAGTCTAAGACCACCAGACACCGACACACACATTCTAACATTATTATGAACCGTCACTCATGCCCTCCACATACCTCATAACCCGTCATATATTCCTATAAAACCATCATGGGACGTCACACGTTGCAACCCGTTCTCGCAAATTCGTAAAGTCAATATTGACTTATTAACTACGTGCATAGGTGATATACTAAACATAATAGATACCCTTAAAAAGATTCATAGAAAACACCAACCTTACCTAACCTTGTTAGTATCTTAAGATAAGCATCTTATTGCTTCGTAATTACAATTATTACTTAACCTATACCTATTATAGGTTAGGTAATAATTGTAATTACGAAGCAATAAGATGCTTATCTTACCATACTAAGTAGGTTAGGTAAGGTCGGTGTTTTCTATGATTCTTTTTAAGGGTATCTATTATGTTAAGTATGTCACCTATGCACATATTTAATAAGTCAATATTGACTTATTAAATTTGCGAGAACGGGTTGCACACATTCACCCTTACATATTTAATTGTCCCTCATACAGTCCCAGGAAGCCATTACAGTCCGTCACATGCTTACTCACTGCCACAAGTCCCGTCACACATTCTCATATACATGGAGACCAGTCGATTACAAATTATAACGTCACAATGGCACATTCATCCAGCCAGCCAGCTTGACGTAACACAACGGTAAACAGAGATGGAGTCAGCCGGATAATCATCCTTCCGTCACACTGCAGCAGCTAGATGGAGCAGGCAAGGCCATCAGGACTCCATCATCAGGAAACGGACTCTCTTGTGACGCCGACAGAGATGTTGATAGTGTTTTGATGGCTGAGAGACGACCAAACTTTCTCTATTATATTCATACTGCTTTTTTTCCTTATTTTTCTTGGCTTAGCTTTTCGTTCGACTTATGGCTTTCATCAATGTCTGTCTGTCTGTTAACCTAACCCTCTGCTATGTCTGTTAACTTGCAGAATTCCTGTTTTTTCGTGTACGTGTTATCTTTTCTGAGACTTAAGATAGCCTGATCTTTTCATTGTATATATCCGTCTCCTGAATGGGATAGACACACCTTCAGGATGGCTCACGTCTCGGCGTATCCATCAGTTCAATAGAGCTTTCAACTCTGGCAAAAATGTTTGCTGTCTTCTGTTATATTCAAGACAAGTGTTCTCGGGGTTCCACCTCGTGGTATAGCTTCTAAGACCAAACAAAAGTCAAGAGTTAACGCACAAGAATGTCTCAGTCAGAAGCTGTTCCATTCTTAAGAACATGACTTCGACAGTAATAGTTCACTCCTCGACTGACACAATTGGAGCATGTTCACTCTAGTAGGAAATATTTGAGAAATAAAGTTAACTGATCACATGAAGGCTCAGACACTCCTATACATCTTCAGCTTATTAATGTACCCATTTGAATGAAGCATAACTTTAAATTATCATCCAAGAAATCATTACAAGCAGAATAGATTAATGTTAATAGCCAGGCCTCAAAATAAGCCGATATGGGATGACAATTCCTAAATTGCAATATTCATTTTACGAGATAAAACACCTAGTCATGTTGAATTCTAGTCATAGTTAATTGTTTTAATATTGCGAACTGAAAGAAGTACCCGGCAGTGGCCGGGATAGTCTGTTTCTATCCCCCAATCACCTATTCCATCTGCCCCATCCCACTTTCCCACTCCCCTCCCCTCTATCCCCAGTCTTCCCACCTTCCCACTCGCCCCACATCTCCCCTTCTAATCCCTCACCAACATCTCCCTACCCCTTCCATCTCTTCCCCCCCTAACTTCCCCATCCTGCTTCCAGCCTCGAACAAACAGATATTTTAATTGAATACCGATTTCACTTTCCTTTCAAGAAGTCTAGGGACTCGGCCATCCATTTTCACTGATTTTTGGTGGGGGACTGGGTCATTGGGATTTACCCCCTCTGAAAAGACCAATATGCTTGACTCTGACCAGCCTATGTCCGTACCCTACCTAAGACGGTTGCCCTTGCAAAGTTAGGCGAGGCTAGCCCTAAGCGTCTGGCCTCCAACGACAGACAGATAGGCGTACAGTCTCTTATATAAATAGACGAGTGTGAGTGAGAGAGGCAGAGACCAAAGCTATTAAATACTTTCGAAATCTCTACTTCAAACTTTTTTCATTGCCACTATCCACATCGCGGCTGAGAACCTCCTCGCGGATATAGTTGACTAAATCCCCTCTATTCAATTACGCGAAACGGTATCAGAGTGTCGGGCGACGCATGAAATTCCATGTAACACTTCTGGCCTCATACTGAAAGGGTATTGCAACGTTTTATATGTTGTTTTTCATTTGTTTTTATTAACGTGAAAGTGAAAACTATGCACCGTATGGTGTCTGGTGACGTATATTCCACCGTATATTGGTTTACCCTGTTTTCCCTCGCTTTAGGGAGTCAGTCATGATCAAAGGTATATATTATAGGAAAAAAATTAATAAAGAACATACCTTTCATACCGTTGGAGGCTCATCAGCTCCAAGAAAGTGCAGCTTCATCGATTTCGCAACCTAGCAGACACCAGCAGCACCGCCAGTGTAAACAGCAGCAGAAATTGCAGTAAAATAAGCAGCAGCAGCAGCACCATCATCACGAGAACCCCATTACCACCAGAACCAACACCATCACTACAGTCACCCTCAGAAACACCTACCCGGTCAAAACTACATGGAACAGGGCCAACACCACTTTCAGAATCAGCAGCTGAACCATCAACACCACCAGATACAGCACCTGAACCATCCACACCAACAGATAGAGCACCTGAACCATCCACACCAACAGATACAGCACCTGAACCATCAACACCACCAGATACAGCACCTCAACCATCAACACCAACAGATACAGCACCTGAACCATCCACACCAACAGATACAGCACCTGAACCATCAACACCACCAGATACAGCACCTCAACCATCAACACCAACAGATACAGCACCTCAACCATCCACACCAACAGATACAGCACCTGAACCATCAACACCACCAGATACAGCACCTGAACCATCCACACCAACAGATACAGCACCTGAACCATCAACACCACCAGATACAGCACCTCAACCATCAACACCACCAGATCCAGCAGCCGAACCATCCACACTACCACCACCACCATCATCACCTGTTCGAATTCCCAATCCTTCTCTGACACGGCTCTGCCATAAACACCTTCACTATCACCTCGTCCAACGAGCACCGGAACGGCACCGTCCCGAAAACATTTGATCGTCAATGGTTGTTGAGGCGCCGGGAAGGTCGCTGGTGACGCGGGATGCACAGTGATGAGGGCTCTCAAGCGGTGTTGTCTTGCTCAGAACAGACTTCTACAGTTACGAGAGACTAGACAACATGCGTATTGGAACACGGCATGTGTGCCTACATTCGATGCTTCATTGAGCTTGAGCGAGAGACAGACAGACAGACAGAGACATTGGAAAGACAAAACAGAAGAAGTATAGGTCTATATGCAGGCGATGAGTCACAATAACGTGGCTAAAGTATGTTGACCAGACCACACACTAGAAGGCGAGGGGACGACGACGTTTCGGTCCGTCCTGGACCATTCTCAAGTCGAAACGTCGTCGTGCCTTCACCTTCTAGTGTGTGGTCTGGTCAACAAGTATAGGTCTAATATTTGGTTTATGTTCTAGGGAAGTAGACATCTACTGACACTAGTGAGTAAGAAGTCACTATAGTGCCAGTAGTATTTCAAGTCTGGCGTTCACCGGAAAACTAGTTCAACTAAACCTGGTCCAGCTATTTTCAAACTGATTAGTGACGAACTTTTGAGTGGACAGAAATCAGGATGACATATGTAGTGGGATTGCAGTTTGTTTCAGGAAATGATTGATGAAGATTAAGCCACCCAAAAGGTGGCACGGGCATGAATAGCCCGTAAATGGTGGCCCTTTTGAGCCAATATCAAGTATCAAGAACCGATACTGTAAATCTGGAGGTGCGACTGCACCCTGCGTGACGGGAGATGTCTCCCATGTTCAGTAAATGTGTAAACGCCTAGCTTATAGATGCTGTCATCCCCAATTACCAGCAAGTTGGGCTCTTCAAACTATGCACAAGCCCTAATTACTCCTTAATGGTGTGCGTAATCTAAGAACTTCACAGAGTGCACACACAATCAACTTCCTGACGAACAACCCATATTCTCTATTGCAATATAATTATGTTATAATTGTGAGAGGGCTTGCCCATCACTATCTGATGCAAAGGGACTGCAATGAGCTCTTAATAGTTAACCTGTAACACTAACTTTCCCAACTCACGTCTAAAAATCTTTTCAAGCAATCCAAGTTATAACTGACCAACGTGTTGCTATACTTTATTGTAAGCCTCTGGGATATGTCGGCTCACCAGACCACTATGCTAACGTCACTACATTGGTTATCCCGAAAAAAGCGGGTTGAATTCATTCCCACAACTTGGATATGAAACAAAAACTAACCAACCAGTCCTGTGCTAAGAACTTTAGCAATTCAATGTCATTTCTTGCTTCAGGGTATCGTGAAAAGCCAAGCAAAGGCCAATACAACGCACATTCTTTACCGGCAGAGCTTTTGAATGTAAGAAAACATTTGGCCTGAAAGAAGCGCATAAATGGAATGAACTACACTGAAAGTAGGTAGGGCCAACACCCTCTGAATTGTACCATACATGGACAGACAGAGTCCCGAGAGCTAAAGTTCAGGTATTTGGCACACGTAGGCGAGCGCACGCGCACACTGATGATCAATATGGTCAAACACGTCAGAACACCAGTCGATTAATAGTTTCGATTAGAGTTTCCCAGAGGTGAAGCCGGTGCCTATTAACTCATGGCGAGTGCATTATGTGTAACACTCGCCTGCGAGCACTCACAAACTCAAGATTTCTTAATAAAGTACACAACATAACTGCAAGATAAATCAATAGTATAAACACAGGTGTGCGAGAATTGCCTTAGTCAAAGCATAACAAGGTCGCGAAATTCGAGAGTACACACTTCAGTATTCCACTTCCGTAGCATTATAATTGTTCTTTACGGTGACGAACGATCACAAAAACACTCAAAACAGTAACGCAGACAGGAACAGACGAACTGCACACACACACATGCAGATTACCAAGAGAAGAATGGTAAACCGTCAGGAAAACGCGAATTTCGTTTAAGTTTCAGAGCGGCGACAAGGAGGAGTCCTGATGACAACAATGTTTCCCGGGAGAGACTAGCATCGGTTCGGGTTCGTGTGGTCGGGGAACAGGATGCTCTCGACAAATGTGTGTTGCAAGGAAACATGCTCCAACTCCCTGCTTTACACTGGAATCTATCCCAAGACCATTTGGCTGGGAACCGATTGCGCTGACCACGCAACTGGACTCTGGTTAATGGGCAAGTAAGTAATTATCAAAAGAAGGCACCAAACCGGGAAGGCCATGTAGCACCGTCAAATACGCAAGTAAGTAAGTAATTATCAAAAGAAGGCACCAAACCGGGAAGGCTATGTAGCACCATCAAATACGCAAAATAATCAGAGGGCGCTAAATATCACCAAGGATGCCAATACGAGAACAAAAACGCGGTTAATGGGCAAACTGCATTTTTTAATACCTTTACGTAAATATATATATATATATATATATATATATATATATATATACACACACACACAAAATGTAATGCCTAAAAAGAATATTTTTCCTTTAGTTTCTTGAAGTCGTGCATTAACGTCTTCATTTCTTAAGAAACTGGCCCCGAGGGCTCTGCTATTATGTTGCAGGAGTGGTACTATAACTCAAGTTAGGGCTATGGAGGAGTCGTTCGTGTACCCACCTGTATTTAGTGTCCAATGAGGGAAAGCAAAGTTTTCTTTTTAAAGAAAAAAGAACCTTGTGGACGTCGGAAGCCGAAGTGGGATCCATTAATTTTTTTCTTGGGTCCAACTGGGTCTTGTGCGAGCAAGTGTTTAGATCCGCGGTAATTGCTCTCGGGTGTTTAGAAGTAGGGGATGGAAGGGCGGGCTTTATCAAACAAGCCGTTGGCTGGGTTGAAGCGGGAGACTTAAAATGTCTGACTTCCAGTAGACGCATGCTGAATGTTTACTAGGTTATCAAACAAGTTAATGGTATATACACGCCTCAAACCGTTCAGTATTCCCTTTCCATGCACTAATAAATGGTTAAGTGAAATGGCAGCAATCTTGGGGTGGGGGATGGGGAAAAGAGGGAGGAGAGAGAATAGGTAGTCAGCAAGATTCCTCCACTATAACGGAAAATGGAGGATTATCTGTACATTAAGCCTGTGAAACGTTTAAGAGGCGATGCCTCAACCAAGGGTAACCCAGACAATTAGCACATTCAGGTACACTTTACTGCCCTTCATAAAGTGTAGGGACAGTCTCCATTTATGCGAGACGAACCAAAGCATCTTTCCTCCAGCCTGAGAGACGTACAAGTGGCACAGAAACTAAAAATCACGAGATTAAATTTGGTGGAATCAGAGGCGTTAAAAGTTAGCTTATGCCTGTGCTAAGGAAAATATTTAGCAACGTAAAGACATACTCTTATATCATCAAGACCTTCCAGCGGAAGCAGTTTGGGCAAAGGTCACCAAGTTAACGTCAATAATAGAAGTTACCAATTCTTAATATTTTTATTCAGTGTGCAACTAATTAATATACTTTAAAGTCTTAAGACTGTCTGAAACCATAGTAGCCTCCAGGGACGAGGACCGTGTCGGTGATGGTGCGGTAGTCTGTGAACGCTGTGCTCTTCGTGTTGATGTTGGTCCGCACGAGCGTTGTTGTGTACGACAGCCTGGGGGAGAAATTAGTTTTTAGATTTCATTTTTACTTAAATCCAGCCACTGCAATACATAATCTGCTTTTACTTACACTTGGGTGGCTGTGGTAGTGTAGGTAGTCTGCACGATGATATATGAAGTGTGGGCGATGGTCACGTAGTCTAAAGACGTTTCAGTCACAATCCTGAAGTCTGACTGCACGTGTGTAACTGTTAGTGTTGAAGTTTTGTAGTGTACCGTTGTCTGAAGGGCGACACGGTCATCCACGGGTGTCTGCAGCACCTGTGTAAAATTATATTTAGTGACTAAGATCATCCCTCTTCCTCCCCCTCCCACACTTGGTTATGCCAATATACCCAAATACTTACCCCGCGTGTTTCAGTGGTGACAGTCTGGACGGTGAGGGAAGTGAGGGTGACAGCCACGCTCTGGAAAGCTTGGTCAGTGAGGGTGACGAAGCGGTCGACGGTGACAAGCTGGGTGACAGTGGGGTGGAAGACTGCGTCCACCCTGCTGACCTGAGGGCTGCCATACCTTGGACCAGCGTAAGATGCCGGACCGCTACTGCTGCCCGCGGTGACGCGCGGTCCGCTGCCAGCTTGACCGAAAGTACCAGATGGACCGCCACCGCTGACTTGGCCGACATTAATACCCACTTGACCACTGCCTAGTACAGCACCTCTAGCTGTACTATCGCCGCTGCTGGTACCGCCTTGTTGACCAAAAGGACTGGTACTACCAGCACTTGTCCCTCTACCACGTATGTCCGAGAGGATGCCCGATCCTGCATAACTGGAGCCAGGCTGAAGTTTAGACGTGTCGATGAGGAGAGAAAATAAATTTAAACTTAAAATCTCAATGAAATGCGATATCAGTACAAGGCGTGGGTCATTATTTTACAAAGCTTGTTAATTAAAAACCTAAAGTCTTAGTTTTAAAGGTTAAGTATTTTAACGGAAAAAACTGAAGACATTTAAGCGTCATTAGTAGATTAAAATGTTACCATCGGCATGCTTAATTAGGAAAGTTTAGTCAAGGTTTGGTTTATACCTAGGAAGTTTGTTGTGGTGCTCTTAAACGTTTTAAAAGTATACCTAAAAAGGAAGTCTCGCCAGTGCAGCAACCGTAGGAAGAGCAACTTAGCCGCGCGTCTACATGGTTGATACTTTATTTACCCTTCTGAACCTACTATCAGACTTTTAAACAGGCCTGTAGATTTACGTATTTTAGCGTTCGCGATGCTGTAGCGTTTATCGAGACTGATAAAATTTAATGTTTAAAAGACTTTTTTTAGAACTTTCTACGATGTCAAAACTATAACTAGGGTATGTCTGACAAAAGTTATGGTGCCAAGACAGATTTAACTGTTCGCAGTACAACTGAAGTGTTTAGATTTATCGAAAAAATACGGTCTGTGGGAGTCGGATTATCCTTCACCAAGTAGGAATGCGATTTTATAATAAATATTTAAGCTTTAAACAGCTTTAAAACAACGCTACAAGCTAAGAGTTTCAGACTATTTGAACAAGCTTAAATCAAACTTATACGCAAGATATTTAAAAGCATATGGAAAAAACCTATTCCACTTTCCATACTAAATTTTGAATCTTCGGCCTAGTTGTATTACCGCAGAGTATAAATACTTAGGTTAACAAGCTAGAAGAGTTCACCGTTTTAGCACTTTAAATAGCATCCGAGCATTTTACATGAAACTTTTAGGCCAGTTAGATAACACTAATGCAAAGCGTTTATGATAACATGCATTCAAGAGCCATCTTCAGTTATTATAGATTTACGTAAAAGTTTGAGTATACAAGCCAAAACATTTAAGATTACTAGATTTTTTAGATTAGCAATTATACGTAAAAATAAAGCCACTATACTTTCACTTTATGATTGGTCTATATTACAACAGTAAGCCTTCAGGAACTTACCACGGAAGGTTGGGCAATAACCAGTACTTGCGATACAGCAACAAGTGTCCAGAGAACGGAAGCCATTGAAACAGACATCTGAAATTCATTTGACTTACATCACAAAACCCTATATCAAGTTTTATCATTATAAAATAACTAATTAATTGGCACCTTAACATTAAAAACCAACTACCAAAAACTTAACATAACGTTGACCAGTCTTAACATTATCAATCTTAACATTATCAAATTAACAAACCTTCATTAGAAGAGACAAGTGCTGACAGTAGAGATGGAACGTCAGGAATGATCACAATACTAAGGTCGGCCCCCTCATTGACATCGACACCCCATTCCACCCCTCCAACCCCCTCACAAATATAAAACATCTGTGGACTAGCGTTTGGTTATAAGAAGGATTGGAAAGCTCCTTAGAAAACGTCAGATACCTCATTAACAGCGCCATCTATTGATGGAACACGTCACATACGAGCAAAGCGTGGCCATAATATTATTTATCTGCTTCTCAATTATATGTGAAATAATTGTATAGATAACTTCACTAATTTCAATATTTAAAAATTATTTCACGGTATTTGGGCTACTATTTAAATACAAATATTAAAGAAATGCAAGTCTATAATGTCTTGAACAAATCGGATTAGAAGCCCCGCGGCACTGACCTCAGCTTTCTAAACGATGGGTCATAGACAGAAATATTTGCATTTTGTTAATATCTTTTTTCATTATGACACTAATGAGGCGAAACTTGAATTTTTGTTTCCCACTGAGACCGTATATAGACACGATTATTCAAGCTTTCGCTTGGTAGAAATTTATGGATGAAATGAAAATGGGCACATATCCGTGTTTTACGTTAAATTTAAGAGAGCTTGTAATTGATTATTCGTATACACACACACATATATATATACAATATAGAACAATAGGAACCTAGCGGCCGAACCTAGGCCGCTAGGATAGCGGCCTAGGTTGCTATCTAGCCACTAGACTGTTATAAAACTTCATCTTGTTTCAGTTTTACTGTTAAATGCGTTACTATTGAAACTCTTGATATTATCTAAGTATAGAAATGAGGTAAATAAAACGATGTGATTACTTCTCTTATTTGGACATGTTTACGATAATAAAATAATTGTCTTGCTCTCTTATTATCTGATATGGTAGTATTATTTACCCAGAGAATACCCATGTGATATATCAAAGATAAAATTCACTAGAGTAATGCTGGGCCTCAGCCTTGGCGTACATAATTACTCCAATTGATTTATTATTATTTGTATTGTTATGAAGTTTAATTTTTCCCAAGTGCGATTTAATTATCGTTTAGAAATATGAATATAGGCCAACAATGCTAATATATATTCATGTAGGCCTTCCGTGTTAATGTATTTATATGCATATAGGTCTATTGTGTTAGAATTTCTCATAATAAGAGATAAAACGAAAGACAATCTTGAAACCATTAATAATATTGTAAATAATAAAAAACGTGAAAGACATTCAGAATAGGGAAACGAATATTATTTTAATTTTATTACCGGATTAATGTGCGATGCTTTGGAAATCAATTTTGTTTTCCTTTTTATTTCAACTCTTTGAACCTTCGTGGTTCTTTTCTACGTTAGAAAAGCGTAGAAAGAAGCGTTAATGACAAGTTCAGGCTGTTATTGTTGTTTTAGATTCAGCTACTCGGAACAAAATGTTGTAAGCAGCTATGGTGAACCCGTAGTGGACTTACCTGGCACAGGAGCGCGGTTGCAACTTCCACGTTTAGGCAATAGATGGCGCTGTTATAGTGGTAGTGATAACTTTTCTGGGTTGAGCTTTCTAGCTTTCTCGTTAAGACTCTGGTGGAATGTTAACGAGGTGGCCGACTGTCCCTGCGTTGGCAGTCAAGTGTCTGTGGTCAACAGCTGAACAAGTTACTTGAGTAGACGATCATTAAACATCTATGGTATGGTTGGAATTTGTTTTTTCTATTGCATTTGTGGGTACATCTAGATTTGTTTAAGGAAATATTTGTAGGTCGGATGTTATAGGTTTTTGGCTTCAGAAATTTTGCTGAATATCTGTGTGTGTGTGTGTGTGTGTGTGTCCTGCCTTGTATTTAGCGTTTTAACTTGCAAAACTGGTTACACTGGCTGTTGGATATTAATAAAATGGTTAAAGGAATGCTGTGGTAAAACTAAACCATTACAGTAAGTAGATACTTACTATCTGGTACACAAACATAAAATTTTTAAACTTTCAACTAAACTTTTCAATCTCTTTTTACAGATGGCATTATTCACTATCTTCCTCCTCGGCTGCATTGCTCAGGTAAACTTTAAAATTTTATTTGTCCCATAGATTCTCTACCTCCTTAATACTGTAATAATGCTAAATTAACTACCCCAGGTGATAAAGGGTCAGGCCTACCAACCATACGGAACCCATGTACCTCTGCCAGTTGTCACGCCCACTACCTCCACCGTCACAGTTCAGGTTGGTAACTCTAGCATTGTATACATATAACCTGGTTTCTGTAAAACACATTGTGCTAATGTTGTATAAACGTTTCAGACAACCCTGACCCACACTCTGCGGGAGACGACGACCTCTGACGTGTGGGTTACAGAGCAGACGGCGATCACCCTGACAGTCACCCAGACAACCACCCAATGGGACTTTGTTCCCCAGTATCCACAGACGGTGACCTCTGTGATAAGGGTCACCTCCACACCGGTAGTGGTTGAGACGGCTACGGTGGGGGTCAACCCAGTGAGCACAATGGTGTCCATCTACAGTCAGTTCGTCACCACCACAGATACTGTTAAATACTGGCAGACCATAACCCACGTGGCTGTCACTCACGAGGTAACTAATGAGTTAACTTAAAGTAATTGGGGAAGCAGACTTAAAACTTCCTTAAACCTAATTGCTTGTTTTATATTTACAGATCCAGACGGTGCCTGTGGTGACTACACAAGAGCTCTTTCAAGAGATAGTAACTACAGTCACCCAGATAGTAACCACTACAGTTACCTCAACCACTGAAAGATACTACGCTTAAAACGGCTTTTGACTACTCCTCCCTCGCTTAATGACTCATCACAAAGTACTATAGATTGTAATGTCAAATAAAAGGTATACTCGGTAATGTTGGTTTTGGAACTAAAACCTAAGATGTATGATGGCTTTGGCTTGCATTATTCCCCCAATTTAACTCTTAGTTTGTAAGAATCTGATGCCGATTAGAATCCACAAGCTTCCCTTCAGTTTTTAAGTGAACACGGGGGTTATCTAGTCTACGAGGACCTAGAGTTTTTACTTCAAATGTGGGGCTGTCGACTATTGAACAAATAAATTGAGGGAAGTGTGTATCTTGGCGTATAAGAGTCGACACACTTGGGGCTCGCCTCACTACGAACCACAAGATACATAGATAATTCAATGTCATAAATAGGGGAGTGAGAGCTCTGAGTCGTCTCGGTGGATTGGAAAGGCCGCCCTTGAAAATGGTGGGGCCATAGCTCAAATACCTATTCGCTAAATTTGAGGGTTTTACATGGACCTTAACGATAATAAATGGCTTCATTCACTAGTCCAGCTTTGCGTGCAACGTTTAGGTTTTACTTACACTGCCTCCCTGCACTCTTATAGGTTGTAGGACTTAAGTGAAGACATTAACGGCGATGGGGGAATACTTCCTCTTCCCCCCCCCCTGTTTTGGACAAACTGAAGGTGCTAGATAATTGGCTAAATCTGGCAGAGCTTATTTAAACAAACTATCTAGGAACTAATTGTTAGCTTTACATTAAGAGCTTCAGTTTAAATACCTAGACTTGCACACCAGGTTCTCGTTGGAAAATATCCCAAATTTGTCACTAGATGTTTATCAAGATTAGTAACTTAAATCTTTTCAAAATAGCTTCACTTATTACTGAGTGGTAGGCTTAAAATTGCATTTAGTGTACCCGTTTTAGAAATTAATCTTCCTGCTGGCTGAATCGCGAAACTGCCTCTTGACTGCTAGTGTCAAATCCAGAATTTTAATCCTTCACACTGGTAGAAACAGACTAATAGTATACGCTATTGCTGGCTCAAGTTAGAAATCCGTAGCAGTTAGTGAATCGGGAAGGAATTGTGTAGTAGGGCTAACCTGGTGGCCAGGCTTATTACATGCATATTTGATTTCGAATATTGAGTTTATCTAACGCCTCTGCTTCTGTAAATACGGACTTTGTCAAAAGAAATTATCAAAAAGCACCAAACCGGGAAGGCTATGTAGCACCATCAAATGCGCAAAATGATCAGAGGGCGCTAAATATCACCAAGGACGCCAATACGAGAAAAACGCATAAGGCGAACGATATCGAAAGGGACTGTCAAAACTTAAGCTCTTGAAAGGCTCAAACTTCGGTGTGAGACCACTGGCCGGATACAGCCGTGCGCGCGCGGAACGGTGTAGACACTAATTAGGGAGATTCTTATTTAAATAAGGGGGAATGATCTATTTCATATTAGTGACTTTCACTCAACCCAAATTAAACACTGAACCAACAGTAATGTACTTTCCACAAATAAAGTATAAAGGCTGTAGATTAACAGGGATGTTCACATTTAAGAATTTCATTACCATTTGTCGAAGAACTGAACAAACTTTACATCCAATAAACACATCTCTGGTATTCGCGGATGCAACTATTTTCCATCGTCTGAAAGAACTTCGTGAACAATTCTCTGCAAACATTTATGGAACATGTATTTGTTTCACAATCTATTACTTCGCTAGCGAGAGCAAAGTTTTATGATCTGCCAGTATTTAACAGTATCTGGTGGTGACCCAACTGTACAGACACCATTGTGCTCACTGGTTTTACCTCCACCGTCACGGCCATTACCAGAGTGGAAGCGACCCCTTTTCATAGGTCACCGTCTATAGCTGCTGGTAACAAAGTCCCATTAGGTGGTTGCCTGGGCGACGGCAGTAGTCAGAACCCCCCCCCCCATAAGTCAGAGGTCTTCGTCTCTTGCAGTGTTTAGTATCAGTGTAGTCTAGACGTCTGCCCCCACTTACACACATGGCGGTGGCTTAAGCAGAACGTTTATAAACATCTGTTATATTGCCACGGGATCTGTCTCGCCTAGACAAAAATATAAACTTTTTCCATATGGTTTAATTTGACAACTGACTTCAGATCACCTTTAGACAATTGCGTAAAGAAACTGAAAGGTTCAGAGATATTAGTCTGGTATAGACATAGGAAAAATACCAAGGACTAAGTTCACACATTTTATTGCCTGTATACAAAGTAAATATTACTCAATGCCATTTTTTTCAAATTCAATACGTTAATACACTAGGACTGTCTGAAACCATAGTAGCCTCCAGGGACGAGGACCGTGTCGGTGATGGTGCGGTAGTCGGTGAACGCTGTGCTCTTCGTGTTAATGTTGGTCCGCACCAGCGTTGTGGTGTACGACAACCTGGGGAGGAAAAGATAAATTGCATTAACCTCAGTTAAACGAAGCAAGCAATTACGATTAACCTCAGTATAAGTACTTACACTTGGGTGGCTGTGGTGGTGTAGGTAGTCTGCACGATGATGTATGAAGTGTGGGTGATGGTCACGTAGTCTAAAGACCTTTCCGTCACAATCCTGAAGTCTGACTGCACGTGCGTGACTGTTAGTGTAGAAGTTTTGTAGAGTACCGTTGTCTGGAGGGCGACGCGGTCATCCACGGGCGTCTGCAGCACCTGTGTAATATATTTAGTTTCTGTAACAATCTTTCCACACCCACACACTCATGGTTACCCCAATTTAACCAAATACTTACCCCGCGTGTCCCAGTGGTGACAGTCTGGACGGTGAGGGAAGCGAGGGTGACAGCCACGCTCTGGAAAGCTTGGTCAGTCAGGGTGACGAAGCGGTCGACGGTGACAAGCTGGGTGACAGTAGGGTGGAAGACTGCGTCCACCCTGCTGACCTGAGGGCTGCCATACCTTGGACCAGCGTAAGATGCCGGACCGCTACTGCTGCCCGCGGTGACGCGCGGTCCGCTGCCAGCTTGACCAAAACTACCAGAAGGACCGCTGCCGCCCGCGGGAACCTCTTGTCCGCTGCCAACGTGACTAGCGCTCCCAGCTGGACCACCGCCGATGATTTGGCCGAGGTTAAGGCCAAGTCCTTGGCCACTGGCAGCGCCGAAGCCAGCACGTGGACTACTGCCGACACCTGGGCCGGAACCTGCTGCTGGACCGCTGCCTTGCTGACCTGAGAGAGAGCCGGCACTGCCCGCTGTTCCCGTACCTCTAGTAGGAGGACTACCGTAACCAGAGCCAGGCTGTCATTTAAACAGTTATAGCATTAAAATCTGTTTACCACTAAAGTTTGAGATACCTACGAGGCACCAATTAAAGTATTCCATAAAACTTTGTGAAACAGTGATCGAGTCTGAACATCTATGCAAGTTAACAGACTTTCAAACAAATTCAGAATACGTTCATAATTATTCGATTTCCTTTCACACCAAGTGGAGTGATAGTTTGTGGTTAAAGGGGTAATATCTAGTAAAAAAAACTTAGTTCCTTCGAATTGGAAGGGAATCCGCGAAGTTATTACGACTATACCACTTTTGAAAGTGCTTCAGGTCAAGGATTTGGGATGGGGAAGGAATGGTGCCTAACCACCGACAGTTTAACGCCGGCCCGTGTTGAACTTTTATATAGAGACCTGCGGGGTACTGTCCAGCCCAAATGGTGGGGCTTAAGAATCTCAGTTCACCGGATCTTTAGACCATGACATCTAACGCACTAAAATTAGAGTTACCGGGATAGGATAACGTAAAAATTTAGCGGTTAATGCTTTATATACAACTTGTACATGTGCCACTGTACAAGTCATAAATAAACCCTTTTATTCAGTCTGATTTTAATATTCAAGTAATTATCCGGATTTATAGCCTTTAATCTTAAGGAGAAAAAAAAAAAAAAAAAAAAAAAAAAAAAAAAACTAAATTTACTAATCACGCTCCAGACAAAAAAATATCCTGCTAAACACCAAGTTAACAAGAAAAGTTAAGAACTCACAGTTGCAAGTTGAGCTATGACCAGCACCTGGGACACGGCCAGAAGGGCGAAGAAAGACATGGCGACGTTTAGAGGCATCTGGGAAGCGATTCTGAGGAAAACAATTTTAAAATCACATTACTAGTCATAATAAACTTCTCAACCCTATCATTAAACTAAACACTTAACACACACGCACTGTTAATAAAACTGAATTCTACAATACATTTAAAACCATATAACTTCATGTCATAAATACCGTGAATCCCACTTCAAGTAGTGTAAGCTGTGGTGGCAGCAACTGTAATGATAAAGGGAAGAAACGGGGTCCCCCTCGTGGCCTTCTCAACACAAAATAAATACACATACCAACGGGAGACTAGGGAAGAAGGATAGGAAAGTTCCTATAAGATATAACCATATACTCTAACCCAACGCTCGCCCAACCTAACAGCGCCATCTATTGATGGGCGCGTCAATTACAGAGAGAGAGAAGTTGATATCTCGTTCTGAATCAAATAGTATAGCATTGGCTTTCTTTGAATATTGATAACATTCTTTACTGCTTGATTATCTGTCGACTTATATAGTTATCAATACTAATTATAATGTCATTAAATTATTTGATACGTATTAAGACAAAATAAATCCAAATGACTTCATAATGACGTGGAGTAAACTAAGGCCAGATTCACGAAAGCACTTACGCAAACACTTACGAACCTGTACATCTTTTCTCAATCTTTGGCGGCTTTGTTTCCTATTATTAAACAGTTAATGAGCTCCGAAGCACCAGGAGGCTGTTTATAACAATAACAAGAGTTGAATGGGAAGTTTTCATGCTTGTAAACTGTTTAATAAATGTAACCAAAGCCGTCAAAGATTGAGGAAAGATGTACACGTTCGTAAGTGCTTTCGAGAATCTGGCCCTAGGAGTCTCCCGCCACTCACCTCAGCTCTTCTAAGAGGCAGGTCACATCCGGGAGAAATCTTGTATTTCGACATAATTATATTGTTTCTCATTATCGTAAGCATGGGGCAAAAAAAAAAATGTTGATTTTGTCTCAAATAGAAAGTACAATTGTATTTACAACACATGTGTATTGATCTATTTTTAGTTCGAAAGCGTATTTATAGACATTCCTACATTCTACTGTTCAAAATTAATTGATCATGTAACGGTCTTATCTTTGTCTGTACATTTCTGTAAGTTCGTGTCGTAATTAGCATATATAAGTGTTTCAACTCTCTTCTCATCATCTTAATATTATCATGAATGTGTTGTTATAAGTCTTACAGCTCTAATGGTAAGCTAAGTGGTTCCTATGGTTTTTACAAATGTTCAACCCAGCCACAACTAAAAAGATTTAATAGATATATATCACTGATAAATATAACTTCTAAATCTATATCTAAATCTAGATTATACAGTATAGTAGTAGTAGTAGGCATCCATCAGCCTCAGGAGACTATGGAGTTACGCTCTGGTTGTCGGTCTGGAGTGGCCTCTCCAAAGCACAACTCCAGGTTAGGATGATACGGTGGAGAAGCTGTTACCCAAGCAGCAGGTCCCCCTCTCCACGGCGCCGAAACCAGTCACCAATGGAAAGGCAAACGCCAATACGATTGGTTGCAGCGCCGTCGCAGGAACTGTGAGCTCCAGAGTTGACCTCGAAGTTGGTGAAAGAAGGAACATGGACTCCAAACCCGGAGACCGCCGTGGTCGGGGCCGGAGAATAACCACCCCCATCAAGGGCAAGAACGACCCCAGCCTCCTGAAGCAGAGCCTGGGGGGCCGCACGAGCCCCAGGAGGTGGACGGGCCGGTCCCGCACCTACGGGTTCCAGACAGAGATCATCACAGCCCCTCTGTCACCCGAGGCCGGCTTCCTTCAAGGCCAAATAGAAGGAAGAGTGATAATTATTAAATACTACAAATATTATTTTAATAATTATTATAATAATAATTATATAGTTTATAATTACTATAATTAAGAGTTCAGCTGTTATGATTCTCTTAGGTAAGCAATGGGCAGTAATTTTGTGAAAAGTATTTCAATTATCATTGTTCAAACACTCATCAGTAATGGTTTTGAATTTATATCACTTTGCGTTAAACTTATTTATAGTATACATTTATTAAATCCGTTAAATTTAAATTCTTTAATTGTATAAAGTATGCATCCGGAATATACTGCATATGGTATACCGAGAAGTGTACCATATATTATATTATATATATATATATATATATATATATATATATATATATATATATATATATATATATATATATATTTATTTATTTATTTATTTATTTATATTCACCGGTGGTTGACTTCAGTTCTTTACGGGCTATTCATGCCCGTGCCACTTCTTGAGTAGCCTAAGCTTCATCAACCAATCACTTTTTTCCACCGGTCAAACCAGTCTTATGGTCTTGGATTGGATTGGCCCGTCCACGGACCAGATCTCTAATATCAACTATTGATATAGATAATGACTCTAAATAGCCTCCACGTACGGGCTCACCATATCCCGTGCTACTTGGAACTTTTTGTTCCGAATAGCTGAATCTAAAACAACAACAACTTTAGTCCTACAATATGTAAAGTCTACCGTTGGTTGGTCAGCTACTGTGGTGGCCATGTTGCCGTGGGTGACAGCTCACGGCAATAGCAGGGAAGGGGATCTCTATAGGTGTCGATATATCTTCAAGGGTGGCATTGAGGCCGACCCAAGTGCCGGCCAAGGATACTATCATACCATCCGTACGTCATTTTGCAAAAATTATTAGTTTAGCCCAGTCCTAAGCGCCTCCTGATCCCCAATCTGAGACAAGCAGGTTGATCGACAGGCAACAAAAGGACTGCATAGGTTCAGATGCTGACTCTTTAGTACAAGTTTTCAAAGGTGGCAATTTGTGATTAAAACCGTTTTAAGTCGGCTAAACATTATTCATCGCTGGAGTTCGTAGAGATCCACATAGGAGCCGGGAGCAGATCCCCTGCCAGTGCGAACAGAGAGCAAGGGTAAGGAATTTTCACGGGAAAGCACCAAGCCATTATGACTAACACTTGGAAAGGGGACAGCCCCGCTCCTGTGCAAGGTAAGTCCACTACGAGCTCACCATAGCCCGTGCTACGTGGATCATTTTGTTCCGAGTAGCTGAATCTAAAACAGGTCAGAATAAGGATTTGGGATGGGTCGGACCCCAACACGTCCGTGCTCTGTCACATCGTCAATGTTAGGCCTAATACATTTGTAAACGTTTAGAGACCAAGCCTTTGACCTCCAACCTGTCTTTGTTGTAGACTTTAAGGCTTATAGATATTCAAGATTAACAATGACCCTGATGCTGTAATTTAGATCAAGTAATTATCAAAACGTACCAAACCGGGAAGGCTATGTAATTTAGATCAAATTAATCAAAATCAAATTCCTAGTACATCGTTGAACCCTTAACTACGTTCACAATCTGAGCTACTTTGTGCAATCAACAGATGCATATGATTTGTTAACATTTCAGTGAAATGGCAGTTATCTTGTTAAACTTTTAAGCAGCATGTTAAGACTCGTCCATAGCTCTATCTCCCAAGACTGTCATGGTCACCTTCGAATTTATTCTAGCTTTTAGGTACACTGAATTTCACTCTGCCTTTTGCTTCCCTATTAATTTTATATTACCGTTTGCCAAGATCTAATGCAGTTTCTTATTTACCATGCTTCCCCCCCAAAACAAATTGAACATACAGGAACACTTATCAACTTTTGCCAAGATTACTCTACAATTTTCATACTCCAAAAATGTGTCTAGCTCTTTAAAAACTACAATTTTTAGTTTGTCCCATTACTAATTGAGCGAGACTCCGGCAGACTAGGACAGTTAGTGTAGTCTTTGATCACGTAAACTATGGCACTGGTTGTTGAGTGTGCTTTGGCAGCAGCTTTGGTAACAACCGAGCCCAGTACAAGCCTCCGTGAAATTGTACCTCGTGTTTCGCACTCTTTGTACGTGATTCTCACATGTCTAAGTGTAAAAAAAAAAGTAACCGAAGTTCGGTCCCCCTCCCCTCCCAAGAGTAAAAAAAAAAATTAGGGTGTTCATTTACACACCAATTCAGTTCGTTTCATTCAGATTATCTGGTTCAATTTTCAGTTGCTGTATGGTACCTCTTAAATGACTGCCAGTTACCCTGTTTGTAACAAATATTCAAAAGGCGTTTATAAGACTTCGAACCCATGTTATTTGTGCATATTTATCTTTTCTATGTTACTATTTGATAACCTCCGCTGGTTTCTGATGGCAATGTGGCGACGTGTTTAAATGAGCTCAGTATGAGCATTTCTCAAGTAACGGGTAGTTTATGATTTAGTCTACAAGTTCACGACAGTCTAGCCAATGTTTACCTGCACATTAACCGCCCAGAATCTCTAGGTTTAAGCTACGCACATTTCAACTACGCTTTAAAACAAATTTACAGATTACAGCACGTGAGCTTGCAAGTTTTACTAATCAGAGACTGAATTTTGAAGCAGAGTAGTCTTATCTCTAAAGAATGCACGTGTAGATTGAAATTTTAACCCGAGAGCGGCAATCAGGGCAACCACTAATGATTGCCTTTGTTCCCCCCCCCTTCCCAAGATTGACATTTTTCCCCTCTAATACTTTACTTATTAGGTTCCAAACATTGTTTGCAGAAAAGAACATTTATTGTCAAGTCTCATTGAAAAACCATTAGATCAAGTGAATCATTATTACAAAGAGTATAGTTCGTAGATAATTAAGGGCCATAGTCTCGAGTCATTAAGCATAGTATCTGGCCGTGGTGGAGGTAACCGTAGTGGTTACTATCTGGGTGACCGTAGTTACTATCTCTTGATAAACCTCCTGTGTGGTTACCACCGGAACAGTCTGGATCTGCAAAGGGAGAGACTTAATAATTTACGCTTATTAACTAGGAAAACTTTAAAATATGTTTCCAGTCACACACAGATCACACTAACGTGATGCATCAAATGAACAGCCTTGTGGATGTTATGTTCTCAGTCATTAGTTACCTCGTGAGTGACAGCGACGTGGGTTATAGTCTGCCAGTATTTAACAGTATCTGTGGTGGTGACGAACTGACTGTAGATGGACACCATTGTGCTCACTGGGTTGACCCCCACCGTAGCCGTCTCAACCACTACCGGTGTGGCGGTGACCCTTATCACAGAGGTCACCGTCTGTGGATACTGGGGAACAAAGTCCCAATGGGTGGTTGTCTGGGTAACTGTCAGGGTGATCGCCGTCTGCTCTGTAACCCACACGTCAGAGGTCGTCGTCTCTCGCAGAGTGTGGGTCAGAGTTGTCTGCAAATATGCATGCATAATCAAGATACCGTAGAAACAGCCATGACTAGAAAAAATTATCGACAGTTACCAACCTGAACGGTGACTGTAGAGGTTGTTGGGGTAACTACTGGCAAAGGCGCGTGGGTTCCGTAAGGTTGGTACGCCTGGCCTTTGGTCTGTCAAGAGATTAATGTGTAGTTAAAGAGAACCAAGTTACCTTTGAATATTTAAGCAGTGAAATTAAAACTTCCGTACCTGAGCGATGCAGTAGAGGAAAATTAGAGCAAGCACCGCCATCTGTAAAAACATTAAGACCAAACTTAATTCAGGTTTGGTAGATATTCTAAATGTTTCCAATTCTAAAATCAGTAGACTAAAAAGATTAATTGCAGACTGTAAGAAGCGTTTCTTTTAGTCTTCATAAATTTACGTAATTTTTCCGATAACCATTTCCTTTCAACGAATCTAAAGTTATAAAATTTAGACAAATTTTATGGAATTAGCCGAACATTAGAAACATTAACGAAGTCTGAATGCTAGGGTAGTTCCATCTACCTTCCAAGGATGAGGGGGGGGGGGGGGAGGGCCGCTATCTACGAAGTTAAAATGCATTACATTCGCTTCAAAATGTAAATTCTACAGACTACCCCTACCCCCCCGGCACATACAACAATAGCCAATTTTACTAGTAAAATTAACCATAAGAATTGGCATCTAGTATCGTTGGGAAGTAGTTTCGTTAGACTGGTTGCCAGTTATCCATTACTATACCGAGGGTGTTAGTTCTCGTTAATTACCATCGTCAGTTAGCATTCAGAACTAATTTTGCATTAGTAATCTAGTAAGCAAAGCACCTGTAGCTGCCTTTGACTATAGGTATGAAGCGAAGAGCGAGCAGTTTAAGAGTGACGCAACGGTCTTGCATCTAAAGGCGTTACCAAGGTAAAGTTCTTTGAAAAACCAAAGGATAATTTAAGATTTAATTCAAGCATAGCTTGCTGCTATAAAAAAAGTTAAGCTTTTAAAAACCAAATGGGCATCAGCAAGTCCTTCCTTTACACCGAAAAGGAAGTTTACTGTAGTAACGAGAAGGCAGGAATAAATTAAAGATTTCATAGATTTAAGTTAACTAAAACCAAGTAAATTCTCATTTGGAGAAAATTATAAAACTAGTTGAAAATTTGAAATTCTTGAAATAATAATTTATCAACGTCTTGAAATTTAAATTAAAGTTTAAAAAAATAAAAAACCCTAAAGCTATTTTGTAATTTATCTTTAAACCCGATACGCTTTGCGAAATTTAAAGTTCAGCTTTTTGTAACGCCATTTCAACATTATCCTCAAAGACAAACTCAGCAACTGCTTTCTACACTACAAATGATAAATTCTTAAAACTAATATTACAAACAAACCCTTAGTAAAATTTAACACCATAAAAAAGCACATCTCTCGTATATAACAAAATGATTATCAATAACAAACCTTAAACGCAACACTCCAGGAAGGTTGATACTATGCAAACCACGTGTTAGTGAATGCCAGGTGACTGACAGCCGGCCACCTCGTTAACTTCCCACCAGCGACTGTATAAAAGAAAGGTAGAAAGCGCTTCTGAAAACCTGCCAATACCGCCATAATAGCGCCATCTATTGACTGAACAGTCAGCTATGCTTCGAGTGCCGGAAAAAAAAAAAATTGGGCTGAAGATTCGCGGAGCTTAAATTTGCATTCATTTTATGATTTTCAATACATCGAACGTTTTCTGTATTTTATATAAAAACAAACATTGATTTTCATTGCAATCTTTCCCTTTCATTACTTATTATTTACCAAAATCATTTGGGTTTGATGATTTATATTTGTCTTTGTATCTCTTATGGTTCTAGCCTCGTAGGTCTTAAGACATATAATTTGACACCCAAGGCATAGATTCATGTTATGGAATTAGACCTACGACCAGGTTATGTCAGTCCAGTACCCCCCAGACTATTTCCCTTGCAAAGCTGTGAGATTAGCCCCAAGCTTCAGACCTCGTGAGACTAGCCCCAAATGTCAGACCTCGTGAAACTAGCCCTAAGTGTCAGACCTCGTGAGACTAGCCTCAAGCGTCAGGCCTCATGAGACTAGCGGTAAGCGTGATAGTCTCGTGATAGTGGCTCATGACTCAACGTGGACGCTTGGTACGCGTCTGGCTCATAGAAGTGTTTTACGTGATGCCTTCTTGCTTGCTTTAGTATATATATATATATATATATATATATATATATATATATATATATATATATATATATATATATATATATATATATATATTATTAAATATGACCGAAAAAGTAAGATTAATAATTCTAACACGAATTTTCTCAATCTTTCGTACATTTCTTTTCACTGTTGGAGGTAAATCAAAAATCAATTCTCCAAAATTCATTTTTATTTCTAGTCTGACGCGACACGAGCGCGTTTCGTAAAACTTATTACATTTTCAAAGACTTTAGTTCACAAATACACAACTGAATAGAACTTACGCATCTCCGATTTTATATCTACATTTCAGTGAGGTGGAAGGGGTGATGTGGCATTAACACAAGATAAAACAATAGGGTATTAATAGGGTATTAATTTCATCAACACAAGACAGAACAAGAAGTGGTATTAATAGGGTATTAATTTCATCAACACAAGACAGAACACGAAACAATGGATATTGAATAGAAGTGTTTGTAGAAAGCCTATTGGTCCATATTTCTTGATGCTTCTATATTGGAGCGGAGTCTTGAGGTGGGTAGAATATAGTTGTGCAATAATTGGCTGTTGATTGCAGAAATGTACGAAAGATTGAGAAAATTCGTGTTAGAATTATTAATCTTACTTTTTCGGTCATATTTAATAATATATGTCTACAGGAAAGACTGCTACCAAAATATACTAATATATATATATATATATATATATATATATATATATATATATATATATATATATATATATATATATATATATATATATATATATATATATATATATATGCAAACAAGCCTGAATGGTCCCCAGGACTATATACAACTGAAAACTCACACCCCAGAAGTGACTCGAACCCATACTCCCACAACTGGTATGTACAGGGACGCCTTAATCCGCTTGACCATCACGACCGGACAATAAGGAAGTGATAGCCGAGGCTATATGAACCACTTCCCCGCCGGCACTCGGATGGTAATCTTGGGCATAGCATTTTATCAAATCACCTCATTCTTTGGGGCACACGTGAGGAACACAAATGCAAACAAGCCTGAATGGTCCCCAGGACTATATACAACTGAAAACTCACACCCCAGAAGTGACTCGAACCCATACTCCCACAACTGGTATGTACAGGGACGCCTTAATCCGCTTGACCATCACGACCGGACAATAAGGAAGTGATAGCCGAGGCTATATGAACCACTTCCCCGCCGGCACTCGGATGGTAATCTTGGGCATAGCATTTTATCAAATCACCTCATTCTTTGGGGCACACGTGAGGAACACAAATGCACAAATGGATTAAGGCGTCCCTGTACATACCAGTTGTGGGAGTATGGGTTCGAGTCACTTCTGGGGTGTGAGTTTTCAGTTGTATATAGTCCTGGGGACCATTCAGGCTTGTTTGCATTTGTGTTCCTCACGTGTGCCCCAAAGAATGAGGTGATTTGATAAAATGCTATGCCCAAGATTACCATCCGAGTGCCGGCGGGGAAGTGGTTCATATAGCCTCGGCTATCACTTCCTTATTGTCCGGTCGTGATGGTCAAGCGGATTAAGGCGTCCCTGTACATACCAGTTGTGGGAGTATGGGTTCGAGTCACTTCTGGGGTGTGAGTTTTCAGTTGTATATAGTCCTGGGGACCATTCAGGCTTGTTTGCATTTGTGTTCCTCACGTGTGCCCCAAAGAATGAGGTGATTTGATAAAATGCTATGCCCAAGATTACCATCCGAGTGCCGGCGGGGAAGTGGTTCATATAGCCTCGGCTATCACTTCCTTATTGTCCGGTCGTGATGGTCAAGCGGATTAAGGCGTCCCTGTACATACCAGTTGTGGGAGTATGGGTTCGAGTCACTTCTGGGGTGTGAGTTTTCAGTTATATATATATATATATATATATATATATATATTATATATATATTACATAAAAATATTTCTTTATGTTGGCACCTAAGTGGTTTACATTGTTCTTGTCTAGAGAAAATTCTGTGAATGAGCACCAATATATACACCTCGTTGTATATATCTTCTGTCCATTTGCCTTTAATTTTGAATGTATATTCTATACAAATAAAAATGTTACATTTAAAACTTTATTATAAAAATTCAACAAAGATATGCTCGGCTGTATACGACCCATATATTTTAAACGATAAAAAAACAGGAATAATTATGTCTGTATATACGCCCTCAACTTCGGAATTAAAATAAGCTGTGAGAATATTCCTATGTGCAGTATAATAATATATTCATTGAGAGTAAAATACAACAACAAATTTTGAATAATGATAAACGCTACAATTTTTTTTCGAAATACTAAAATTTCTGCCGGATGTGAAGGACCATTTAGAAAGGCTGAGGTCAGATCGGTCACGCTTGTAATTTGAATTATTTTATGTATTATGAATTCATATTTTATATAAATATGTGCATTTATATTATTGCCTAAATATGGTAAAATGATTTAAAGACATTGTAATTAGTGCAGCTATCTGCATATCCTTTTAACGTTGTTAAAGATTCGCTACCTGGAATAAAGCTCCAAGTAGCACGGGCTATGGTGAGCCCGTAGTCCTTTTAACACGGCAAGACATTAAGAAACAGAGATCTTAAGCAACGATCAAAGATAGTCAGTGATATAGTGTAATTGTGTAAAGGACAAAGCAGTTCCACTGGCTCATGTACTTGACGCGCTCGTCAATAGATGGCGCTGTTAGGTTGAGAGAGAGCGGTGGATTGGGGAATACTAAATCTATATAATTAAGTGAGAGCTTTCCTATCCTTCTTCCATAGTTTGTCGTTAGTGCATGCGACGTGTGGCGAAGGCAATGAGATGCACCTCGTTATTTCGTTCGACATACCAGTTCCTGGCTGTTTATCTGACAACGTTTAGAGCTTAACAAAGTTTATGTATGTTAAGTTTTTTGCATGTTAAATATTTATTAATAGTGTTATACGATATGAATGTTAGGGCTTGTTCATAAAGATCTAATTATTTAATGTGGCTTGGCGTTTACTTTTTGTTTAACTTTTTGTCTGTGGTATATTTTAATGTCTTTCATAGTCTTAAGATGTCGTCTTCCTGGATGTGGTTATTGTGGACAGTCTTCACCGTGTCCCAGATGCTAGTTGTCGCTCAGCTTGCTTCAGTGAGTTATTGGAAAGCATTAATGTTACTACTTTTATATATATACACACTGGCTCTGTTAAGTATCTTTAATTAGATAACGCTTATTTTATTCGGGTTTTAATTTTGATATTATTCTTTCTATGGTGGCTTGGTCGACACATTATACACAAATTTTCTAAATTATACGAAAAGTAAAAAATATTCGTCTAATTTATTCAGAGCATTTCCATTACTTTAATTACTAGTAAATTTCTAGATTAGTCTTATTAATCATTAAGTTTAAATTTGGGATGCCACGTTAATTTAGCAATTTGTAAGGTGCTTAATGTCTTCTCTCCACATTTCAGCCTGGCTCCAGTTACGACAGTCAAACGGGAAGGCAGAGAAGCGCAGGCAATGCCACTCCAGGCATACCTGGTAAACAGGGCAGCGGTCCAATTCTGGGTGCTGGATTGGGTGTTGCCGTCGGTCAAGGAGTCGGTGGTTCAGCTAGTACTTCCGGTCGAGCAGTAGCCGGCGATGACAAGATTGATCTTGGATTCGGCGGACCGCGCGTCGCCGCGGGCAGCAGTAGCGGTCCGGCATCTTACGCTGGTCCAAGGTATGGCACCCCTCAGGTCAGCAGGGTGGACGCAGTCTTCCACCCCACTGTCACCCAGCTTGTCACCGTCGACCGCTTCGTCACCCTCACTGACCAAGCTTTCCAGAGCGTGGCTGTCACCCTCACTTCCCTCACCGTCCAGACTGTCACCACTGGAACACGCGGGGTAAGGACTTGCTTTTATTGTCTTTACCATGTGTCTGCAGGTAAAGTGTACGGTATCTAAAATATAATTTTACACAGGTGCTGCAGACGCCCGTGGACGACCGTGTCGCCCTCCAGACAACGGTACTCTACAAAACTTCAACACTAACAGTCACGGACGTACAGTCGGACTTCAGGATAGTGACGGAAAGGTCTTTAGACTACGTGACCATCACCCACACTTCATACATCATCGTGCAGACTACCTACACTACCACAGCCACCCAGGTGTAAGTAAAAGCGGTTTATGTATTGAAAGTGCTAGATTTGAATAAAAATGAAATCTAAATGCCAATTCCTTCCCCAGGTTGTCGTACACAACAACGCTGGTGCGGACCAACATAAACACGAAGAGCACAGCGTTCACAGACTACCGCACCATCACCGACACGGTCCTCGTCCCTGGAGGCTACTATGGTTTCAGACAGTCTTAAGACTTTTGGTCCTACTGTGGACATCTTGTGCCAAATTGACGTACTTTTGTCTAAAGTGTTCTGAATAAACTTTACTATTTTTTTCGTAAGAAGCCTTTATATTTTTTTGTCTACCTAAATGCTCCCCTCAAAAGGGCAACAAATGAAGATTTAAACGCTAATCTGTTCATTAAATACCCTCGCCCCTCGCTCCTCCCTGTACCCTATCTCGCGTACCCGACATGAAACGGTTAGTCTTGATCAGGTAAGACTTCCTTCCTTCGGCTGTCTCGGTCACTGAGGTTTCGAAGCTTCGGCCTCCACCGGCTGGACCTACCATACTGGTGCATCCTGGGAAGGTGTGCGCACTGGCGTGGAAAAACTGCACTGTTCTTGCCAGCGACTTTAATGTCGCCTAGGAATTATTCTCTAACATGTCCATCCCACGCCAGATAGTTCTGTCCTAGAGTATCTGTTGGTATGTACTCCCGGGGAGAGGAAAGACGGTTGCAAACAGACTAGGTAAAAAAAAAAAAAACTAGTTTGAAAAACGGGTTCCCCAGTGGGAACACTGTAGCAGAAATCTGCTTTTTACGTAGAATCGGCACTACTACAGTCTTGAGCCCACTGGGGTTTATGGGACATGCTACAACAATAACGTGAGAAAATGCGTGCTGGTCTGATAGTGGGGAAAGTCTTATGCGGGGGTCTCCCTTATTGCAGATCTGTGCAGCTTCAGTTTGTTCCTGAGGGATACAGGGTGTTCAGTTTGTTCCTGAGGGATACAGGGTGTTCAGTTTGTTCCTGAGGGATACAGGGTGTTCAGTTTGTTCCTGAGGGATACAGGGTGTTCAGTTTGTTCCTGAGGGATACAGGGTGTTCAGTTTGTTCCTGAGGGATACAGGGTGTTCAGTTTGTTCCTGAGGGATACAGGGTGTTCAGTTTGTTCCTGAGGGATACAGGGTGGTTGGGGACTGCTGTTGTCGAAGCTTTAGAGCTTCTAGTTTTAACAAGATGTTATGGGGGTGAGGTATGTAAAGAACTGGCGAGGGGGAATAATTGGTTAGCCGTAAGGATTATCGTAAGGCCGTAACATACTTTCTGACCTATCCAGCATGTGTACCACATTCCTTCGTCATGAATTCGTTGAACTGTTTAAAAAAAAAAAAACAAAGTTTCCACTGATATTTTGAAGCCAGGGGTTACTAGCAGCGATAACAGGTTCAGGTTATAGTACCTGTTGGCTATTATAGTCTAGCGTTTTAAAAGTGTATTATTCATATTGTGTGTTTACATTCGGTTCGTATCTAATCATTTTGCAGGAAAAGCGGTTCGTGGACCTTTGGATCCAAATAAACTCCGTAGCTCTATATACCCTACCTTCGTGTCGAATTAAATGGTGTGCGTGTCTTTATCCATTTACTTTGTCCTCCATCCTAATTTTTGTTTAAACTTTCTTACCATTTTCATTCCTTAATATCGCCAAGATTGACAGTTCCAGCAATTGCTCTATTACTGATTGCTAGAATGTATGATTAGTTGCTTTTCCTGTTTATTTTAAGACTTTCTGCATAAAAATATAGCAAATGGACGAACAATGTATGTGACAAGATAAACTGAGCTGCTGTTAATACCATAGAGTAAAGTAAGACCAAAGTTACTACTCCTTAAGTAAAAATCATTAGAATAAAGAACTACTGAAGATCAATTGGCTCGTACTCGTATCCGGCAAAACTTTCAAAAGAATGTAACCAACGCTTGAACACCTCGCCAAATGTGGCAGTTTCTCTAATTTGTTCCAAAAAAACGGCCTTGTTTTGAATTTTGAAGTTACGCAGGTCTCTTACTAATTTACTTTATACAATACAATCATGTCTCTTACTTCTTGAAAATGAATATCTAGCTATATTTTGTTGACAAAGTTGTACTACATAATCTTTCCGGCTTGGCGCCTACTTTAGATGCTCGCTTGCTTTTGAATCTTGGGATTAACTTCGTCTTAATCTGTACGCTTTCAAGATATTTGTCCAGAATATTTCGATCATAACTGAACTGCATAATCTAGATGGGGCCTAATAAGGTGAAGATATTATAGAATGTATGAAATGAAGGGTATTGTATGTGTGGCCGTGTATGACGTTCATTTACTAGTTGTATTTACTATTCGTGCCTGCTGGATCGAGCTGTTAGATTTCAGACCCTGACTGCAATCTGACTGATCAGTCTATTGTCTAAAATACAGATTCCCGATTTAATTTTCTCTATTTATACAACCTGTATTTCTCTCTAATCCCCAAAGATGCAGTCGTAACTCCTCGGTACCTATTTACTGCCAGGTAAACACTCATCATTTATTAGAAACTCTGTGTATTTGTTTCTGGCTCAGCCGGGAATCTAACCCGGGCCCTTGGAATGCGACCCTCAAACGTGTATGATACACGGTATGTGGGGATGCATTGTGTGGTTTATGGTGTACATGTCAGGTATGCGTATATTTAGTATTGTCTGTTTGACTGCATGTGTGTACAATTAACTTTATTTATGCACATATACTCTTCACCAATTTCAAAGTGATCTCATTACTTGAAATCCTATCAAACAAACACCGTGTTTTTGCATACATCATTCCCTAAACATAGAGGTAATTACTAAATAAAACATCCACATACATTTTCATAATTTTTTTTATTATTCAACAACATGTAAAAAATATAATTCTGACATTTTAGTATGTACATCAAGAGAAAACGATTCAACATGTACACGGAATATGGAGATTGCCTTGGTTTGAGCTTCTCATCCGGCCCGTATTTCCTTCCCTTTGCTAATCCGGATGCGGCTTATCGAATCCGGATACGGCTTATCGCAGCCCACTGCGGTTTCAATGAATCCGAATACCCCCAATCGCCTTCGAATACTCAAGTTTCGAATCCGGATGCTACTTGTCAAGTCCGTATGGACCTTATCGCATGCGCATGCTCCTTTACGAATCCGGATGCGACTTATTGAATCCACAATTCCCACCATACACCTTGAGGAGAGGGGGGGGGGGGGGGAGTGCAACAAGGAGATCGTGAAGACGCCTGATTCGGATTATAGGAGACCCCCTAAAATTAGGGTTCGGTGGAAATATGGAGGCATGGGCGTACAGACACACGCACGGAGGTTGGGATTAACGAGGTTTTTAAAAGGGAAAATGTCAATATTGTGATGAATATTATGATGATGATGATGATGGCTGATGATACAGCTGGTTTGTTAAGTTATTATCGCGAATAATGAGCTTTTTTGGGATCATCACTATATCATTATATTGATCATCAGTGTTATCAGCACAATCACCTTCATTATAACCACCATCACTATTGTTATGTACACTGACCTTATATCGTTCTGTCCCTCTCTCTCTCTCTCTCTCTCTCTCTCTCTCTCTCTCTCTCTCTCTCTCTCTCTCTCTCTCTCTCTCTCTCTCTCTCTCTCTCTCTCTCTCGTTTTCTCTTTCCCTCTGTTAGATTCCTAAAGAACGAGTAACTATCACAATTAGGTGCATCCACATTTAATCAGTCACACATACTGACGCAGTCACATATTTACGCAGTCACATATACGTACGCAAAGGGGGGTTTAGGATATGTGTGTATTCTGACAGCTCACAACAAACGCCTCAGATCTTTACTTCCACCACCATGATCACCACTCCATTCAAAATCAAGAGACAACATCGGTATTCTCAGCATTGTTAAAAGAAAGTTCACTCAGTTTGTTATCAATTTGACATAGTCCCCAAATTTAAGCTCCTCTTCATTGATAATCACGATTAAATGACTATACTGATCAATATATTTTCGTATGTCTTATAGCAAATACGTGGTTATCAGTCACAGGCATCAATCATCAGCACTCATTCATCAGTCACGAGCATCAATACAGTGGGTGTTGGGTGGCACTCCACCAAACTATCTCCTGAGTCCATGGTCACTTTAACTACGTCTGAAGAGTCTGTACAGTCGCCACCAGCCCTAACACTACTATAACAGTTCAAACGACATTTTCACACGATTCGCTTTTTACAATCCCTAATTTGTGGAAAATTATTCGCTAATCGTTTTATCACAGTCTTTGACAGTCACCCTCTATCACAACGTTCTTCCACAGGACATTTCATATTTTATATTTATGATGAATGATACTGTGTACGCAACCCGTCCTCGACTCAAGTCCATTACATACAGCGGTCGCCCCCACAGACGCATTCATAAATTTTAACATGCTGTTCATTCAGAACAAGAATTTTCTCAAATATAAATTAATATTATAATATATTAGCATATTGTGCATATATAGGCATAGGTTAGGTCAGGTGTTTAGGTTCGGTTGGCGATTATTTGCATTTGTAGTACGTGGGTGAAGCATTTATAGCGACGTGGTTCGAACAAAACTCGTCAGTGAAGCACTTGTTCCGGAAGTGTTCGAACGAAATCAGTTGTGAGTCGTGTGTAAACCGTTTTTCAATCATGAACAGGGGGTTTGGCGGGTGCATGGAATCACTTTTGGGTCTTAGTTTGGAGGACGGGCTGTTATATGTGAGGACGGGCTGACTCATAACTGTTCATGTTCGAACACTTCCGGAACAAGTGCTTCACTGACAAATTTTGTTCGAACCACAACGCTATAAATGCTTCACACACACGTACTACAAATACAAATAATCGCCAACAGAACCCAAACCTACCCACCTAACCTAACCTAACCTATGCCTATATATGCACAATATGCTAATATATTATAATATCAATTTATATTCGAGAAAATTCCCGTATTGAATGAACAGCTTGACAAAATTTATGAATGCGTCTGTGGGGTCGACCGCTGGATGTAATGGACTTGAGTCGGGGACGGGTTGGAGTTCTCAAATGATTTATGGACTGGGGAGCATTCTAACTTTCACATATGTAGGCTCAGTGCGGAGCCTACATATACAATAATTCCATGAAAAATTATGCCAAAATTGCACCACGAGAGTTGTCGGAGATTTGTTAGTCATGGGGGTTGAGTTAATAAGCCCCAGTACTAACTAATCCATATAGGCCATCGGTGGTGAAGTGGTTAT